AGAGATTTGACGAGAATGGACATCATTTCTGGTGATTTTGTCATAGCCAGATCAATAAGGCGCCACGGTGGCGAGATGTTAACTCTCTCGCCTGGTATACATACAGGAAGTCGTGGGTTCGATCGTGACCCTGACGCCAGCTGAATATTTGGCATTTGCACGTCTCTCGTCCCGTGGTCGTTGGAGTTTTTCTGCGCGTCCTCCGGGGTTTCCTTCCACATTCAGACACGTACGTTCAGAGTATTTGGCTGCGATACACTTCCGCACGATAAGCCACTTGGTTGAGCTATCATTTGTAGTCAGGTTGCTTCTGAATAAGAGCTACATTAAAGAGTTTAGTTTAAATAGTTTAATGTAATCACAAGTTGTTCATAAATTCGTACTGCCTCCACCCCGACTGGTTCCATCGCTCGCCTCTAACCTACTCCCAGGCCCCCCCGTCATCTTCCTCCTCCGACTCCGACCCTAACTCCTGACCCGGCTCCCACGTCTTGCTGTCTCCACGTGCACCTAGCCACGTCTCTCTCCCAGCCCTACGCCGTGCTCCTCCATCGGCTCAACAGTCTGGCCACCAGACCTCTGCTCCTACCAACCTTCACCTACCCTCATCCATGCCCATTTCACCACTTCACACGTGTGCCCCCACAACACCCACTGCATCTCGTCCACGTTGCCCCCGTCAGACACCCTCGCTCACCAGCACACTCCACCTTATTCCACCTGGTATACCACCTGAAGACGGAAGCTTGTGTTACCTCCGAAACGTCGTGATTTTTATTTAATTTTTATTTTACATTTATTAATTTTGATTTTTTACCTACGTGACTTTACCGAAAAAACCTAAGAATTTTATTCCACCTTACCTACCACAGCAACATCTGCTCCATTCCCAGCCCCTGTTCCTCCATCCATTCCATCAACTTCCTCACTGAACGCCGTCGGCATGCATCTTAATGGAATAGAAGATGCCCCACATGTACATGTAGGCTACAATATGCTTACATCTTCTTACACTGCCAAGCAAGTGTGCAACGAATTTAGCAACACATCTGCCTGCGTGGTGAAGTGTGACCAACAACCATCGTGGCCCAACGACGTCGCGAGGCCTTCCTTCATCCAGCAGTGGATCGACAGAGGATTGTAAATCTGCCTCGTGGGGTGTGCAACGTCGCATTGACGTGCGTATGTTAAATGAACGCTTTGAACGCATATTTATTGCGTTGGTTGTGACGGATCGGCTGTGATTATAATTAAGCATTGTTGAAATTATGTTTACGGGGCAAGGGCAAGCGAAGATAAATATGGGCGTAATGTTCATTGTTATGCTCGTGTCTGCAAATAGCCCAAAGGACCACTTGCCGATGATGTCCTCCCGGCGCCGAGCCTCATGAACTTCTGATTTAGTAGCACATCAGATTATGTAAATTCGCTCAAACTGTGTTACAATCTCGCCTTTGATTAAGAGTCGTTCCGTGCATATTGCGTTGTGGAATAATCAACAAATGATGTCGTCTCAATGTGTGTGCGTATTAAGCCGTGCTGTGCCTATGTATTATAATCACAAGCTATGTATTGGTGAGCCACGTTTGCCTGGTGCTTAGAGAGCGATTTGCATAATGAAATCACCTCGGATGCGCCCCGATCGCGCTGCATCTCGGAAGCTAAGCAGATAAAGAGCCTGATTATGATGATTGAGATGAGTAATCGCCTGGCCAATGGCAGGCGTTGTGTGATTGGGCAGCCAGGTGGCCAGAAGATGGCAGTACAACAATGCAGCGTTGTGTTTCATGGGCAAGAGTTTAGAGCTTTAGCCTCGCGTACGTGCGAGTTTCATCCTGGAACTCAGATTTCTTCCTACAAAGCCAAATGCCCATAAACGGAATTGGCCAAACATTCCAATACAGAATCATATATATTTTAGTATGAAGATTCAGTGAGGCTTAAATTAAGGACGTTGATATATCTTGGGTCATGTCAAAGTGCTTTCCCCTCTCATGTGCGTGTTTGACGGCGCTCAATTTTCTTCAGCGGTCCTGAGCCACCGTTGGACAGTTCACGTTACGATGGCGGGGGCCAGTTTAACCATGGAACGGCCAGTGTGTATTTCCTGTTTATTGGTTCGATTTTTAACGACGCCAGAGAAATGATGGGTGTCGTACCACAGTCGACCTTTTACTTGTTAAGTCGAAGGCTTTGGTCATAGTCCCACCAATCATCATCAACAGAATCAGCCACGATCAATCCACTGCTGGATGAAGGCCTCGCAAAGCTGGCACCATCTCGCACAATTCCCCCAACGGGGCAATGCATTCAGCGCCTCGGCACGCGATCTCGATTTCAGCTGCCACCCCGATTATCACGGTTGGCTACATGAGGTGCGAAAGAAGTTCAACATCGTACAGACGTACAGCACCACCGAGCCGGGACTACGCGTTACCATTGGGTGGAAGACCTGTGCGGATTTGACCTTCACCACAAAATGTAATTTTTTTTAGTTTTTACCGGGACATTAATCTGTTGAACGAGAACGCGCCGTTCCTTGAGAGGCTACGGTCTGCTTGTGCCAACGTGTTATCGCTCCCCTAACACCCTCCACCACCACCACTGTCCCAACCCCCTGTCGGCGTTTGTCCTTTGTGACGCGTCTTTGTGTGTTGCCGACGCCACGTGAGCCGGCAACACACAAAATAAGTAATATATATCTAAAAAAATAACTTTTTTAAAAACACGCTTTTATGAAATGTGCTAGCAATGGAAGAACTCCACGACTTCAGGAAGTGGCCCCAAAGCTTGCCATAACGTAAGGGACCGTGGTCAATTAAAGCCAACGTCAGTTGAGCCTGGACAATTAGAGCCAAGCCGAAACATAACATATAAAATAATGTACATTTTTTTTAATGATAGAAAATAGTATTGTCATCATTATGACATAAGTATACCAAGTTTGCAGTCGATACCACATTGGGAAGTGGGTTAAAATTGAGTTCCAAGATTTGAGGATACAACAACGACAACAACAACAACAGACAGAGTGAGTTAAATGAAAGCGTGTAGTGGTAATAAAAAGACCCGCGGCGGCTCTACTTTGCGACGTCATCCAGTCAAGGCCCAGCGTCCTCCTATTCACCACGTGACTTGTTGTTGTTGTTGTGTTTCGGGTTGTTTCTTTACTGAAATCGAAACAAAATCTCTCTTCTCGCAATATTAGTTGCCAAGGCCTCTCCCCACGCCCCCCCACGGCGTATCTATGCCAACCGTGGAGCGTGACCTTATTTTAAAAGGGCAGCAGCAGAAGAAAACAACAGAATGAATATCGGTCTGATCCTGCGCCAATTGCTGTCGTGCAGTCTGTTCGAACTCTAACTCTCTGTATACCCAAGGAAACGCGCATATATATAGATATATCAAGTGTGTTCATCAACATTTGTTTACTTGGCTATCACAAATTCGAAGGTGGGGGGAGCGTGAGAGAGGAGGTTGAGCCTTCATCAGCTGAGGACATTTTGGTGGCCTCGGCCCACGTGACCTCTGCTGCATTTCCCTCTGCTGCATTGCCCTCCATTGCAACCTACAGCACCTGTGCATCGGGCATTGGTGGGCGCCCATCCACGCGCTGTCAAGGCTCAGCTCTCGCTCTGCTGTCCGATGTTAGGCGAGAACTAGCGCATCCCCGGATGATTCTCTCATCGGGCAAAGCACACGAATAACAGGCTCGAGTGTAAGTTTGCGCTTTTGTTTAATATTGAGTGGCGCTGTTGCGCTCTATGTAGGGCGAGGGGTAAAGGGGTAAAGGTGCGGCCCTGCAATATCTCTTTGGTTCTTTCGGTAGCGTCATGTAGAAAATAAAATCTAATAACAATAGAATACGACGTTTCGATTGCAACACAAGCAACCACCATCAGGTAAGAATGAATGAAAAAAAACTAGAATGATGATGGTTGCTTGTGTTGCAATCGAAACGTCGTATTCTATTATTGTTTGATTCTATTTTCGACGTGACGCTACCGAAAAAACCAAAGAGTAATTCCTGCAGGCACGAAAGCTTCGAATCCAGTTTGCAATATCTCGTTTAAAAAACACGCGTGGCGGTTTTCCCTCATTTATAAGGAGAGTTCGGTAGTTTGGTCTACTCTTCTACGATGGCCAGAATCAGAATTAAAATTTTTTTTAGACTGGAGGAATCCGATGAGCTGTGAAGCTCTTTTTGACGTGCAGAAGTGGGGCATACCCACGGTTTACCCCACCGCACTGTGACCTGCCGATCGACTTGTGGTGTAAACGCACGGGCAAATCGAAAACCAACCGGAGACCTTTCCAATCGCAAACCCGACGCGCTCACCACCCTATTACACCACGCGGCACCTCCGATTAGCGCGGTTGGCTACGTACGGTGCGAAAGAAGTTCAACATACATACGCATATCGGGCAGCACGCTGTCCACTAGCGCAATACACGTGGCCTCAGTGTTGATTTGAAGCTTTCGCGACTGCATTCAGCAGTCTTCCTGGCTGTGTTTGTCTCACCTCCTGATGACGGTTGCCTGCGTTGCGATCGAAACGTCGCGATCTATTCATGTTCCTATCCACGTGACTTCACCGAAAGAACCAAAGGGTCACGCACGGTCTCATCGCGTGGCGAGGGGGCTGGCGGGAGACGTTCGAGACACACGGGATTAGCCCCCCCCCAAAAGCCCCCCCCAAGAGGCCCCCTCGCGTCTCTCAACAAACCTCGTGCGTCGCGCATTCTCGCCACGCCAATCACCGCGCGCACCAAGACGCGTGGAGGAGTGAGAGGCGCGACGGGATGGAGGGGACTTAAAGCGGTGGTGGTGGTGGGGGGGTGGGTGGCGGCTTGCGTGAGAATTCCGGCTCAACCCTCCCCCCCCACTCACCACCACCACGCTCGCTCGCGGCGACTCAGAGCGCCGCTGCTTCTGTCGTGACCACCACCGCAGCAGCAGCAGCATTAGCGCGCTGTTGCCGGCGCGAGCATTTGGCGCGCACACGCCGCTCGGAGCCGCGTGGACAGAAACAGCCCTAGGTGGACAGACGCAGTTTTAGGTGGACAGACGCAGCTCTGGGTGGACAGACTCAGCCCTAGGTGGACAGACGTAGCTCTGGGTGGACGAGACGCAGCTTTGGGTGGACAGACGCAGCTTTGGGTGGACAGACTCAGCTCTGGGTGGACAGACTCAGCTATAGGTGGACAGGCTCAGTTTTGGGTGAACAGACGCAGCTTTGGGTGGACGAGACGCAGCCTTGGGTGGACAGACGCAGTTTTGGGTGGACAGACGCAGCTTTGGGTGGACGAGACGCAGCTTTGGGTGGACAGACGCAGCTCTGGGTGGACGAGACGCAGCTTTGGGTGGACAGACGCAGCTCTGGGTGGACGAGACGCAGTGGTGTGAGAAGATCGTTCCAGCGGTCTTATTTCGCCTACCGCCAAGTTTGGGCTTGTCGTGCCCGCACCAGCTGGCAGCCCCGACTTGACACGGATTTTTTGGTTGTTGTCGAGCGACAGCTCGTGGTGCCGCGCAGTGCGGGGGGGATGAGAAGAGCGAGATCGACCCTTTTTATTTATTTTCTTCGTGGTTCCCAAAGTACCGAATTGAAAGCGGCGCCTCGTTTTGATTTGCGTTAATGAAGGCCACGTGTTCAGTCGAGTGAGTCATCGCAGACACGTGGTCGAGGCTTGCACGTGGTGTTTATTCGCCTTCGTGTGGATCATAAAAGACATGACGAGGGCTTTGCCTACCGAGGCTGTGGCCAGCGGCAGCGATGCGAGGGTGTAGTATTATCATTATTATGCGCGTGCATGACGCACGCACGCGCGCGTGTCGACTCGGTGACGGTAAAATAATGCTTCAGCGAGCAGCAGTGGTGGCTTGACCGGTGTAATTAGTGACTCTCCAGCGCGAGTTGGCGCCGGATGAAGCGCCGTCTGTTTAGGCAATGGTTAAATTCTCAGGACTTTCTCCACTCCCATACGCGGTGCTGACTTGTGCGTGCCTCACAGTCTCAGCACCACGCAGCTGCAGCTGCTAGCCCGTGGGTAGTCACCAGACGGTTGTCATCATCATCATCATCGCCATCAGCAAGCCACCAGCAAGCTGCCTTCGCGATTCCCCAACAATGGGCCACTTCATCAACAACAGCAGCAGCAGTAGCAGCAGCAGCAGCAGCAGCCGAAGCGTCAACGACTCCTTCTATGACAACGACTTCTTCAACAGCTCGGGGCAGATGTGGGACGCGGACGCGAGCAACGTGGTCATCCCCTTCATCTACGGAGTCGTGTGCCTGGTGGGTCTCTCCGGGAACTCGCTCGTCATCTACATCATCCTGCGCTACGCCAAGATGAAGACGGCCACCAACATCTACATCCTCAATCTGGCCGTGGCCGACGAGCTCTTCATGCTCAGCGTGCCCTTCCTGGCCACGGCGGCGGCGATGCACCGATGGCCGTTCGGCGCGGGCCTCTGCCGCCTGGTGCTCAGCGTGGACGGCATCAACATGTTCACGAGCATCTTCTGCCTCACCGTGCTGAGCGTGGACCGCTACATCGCCGTGGTGCACCCCATCAAGTCGGCGCGTTACAGGTTCGGGTGATCGGTTCCGTTACAGGGGTCGTGGATCGCGCGTTGTCGAAGTTTGTCAACGGCCCTTCTCTAATCACCCCTCCCCGCCTTCCCCCCCTTCCCCCCCCGGCTTTACGCAATAACAACAATAACAACAATAACAACAATAACAACAACAAACAGATTGCTCTGACTGTCCCTGCGCTAGGTGGTGGTGGTGGTTGTTGTTGTTGGTGTCTGTGGATCTCGTGGGCACGGCCGGATTAGCGCAGGGGCTTTAAGGGGATGCTGCCCCGGGACTTCGGATTAAAAAAAAGACAAGAGGCGGTAAACCAAAAAAAACATACAGGCTGCCTTGGATGTACGTTGAACTTCATTCGCACCGTACGTAGCCAACCGTGATAATCGCAGGTGCGGGATGGTTTAAATGCGATACTGATGCACCGCTATGATACATATTTCAGTGTCGTGTGTCCATGGAAATCCGTGGCATTACCGGGTGCGACTGGCAAATGTGTGCCGAAATTAAAAACGGGTTTGTTCGTTTTAACTTTCATCTAGCTTTATCATTCGCGTATCAGATTTCACAACAAGGGGAACGGAAATACAGGAACCAAGGTAAATAAGAAAGGAAGCATTTGGCATCGGCTATGGGTGGCGGTAAGACAGTAAAATGGAGAAATTAAATATAAAGAGGGCTCCCCCAAAACTAAAACAGCCGCGAGACCACATTAAACCCAATCCGGCCCTTGCCACCATGAGTCAAACATTAGAGTGAGCAACAACTGTGTGAGAATGCATGTACGTACGCATGCTGAACTTCTTTCGCGCCGTACGTAGCCAACCGTCGGTGCGAATGTGGTTAGGCTACGGCTGCCAGCCACTGTGGGAGTCGTGGTGGGGGTGGAGGGGGTCCAGGCACCCCCGCCCCCCCCTACGGCACACGATTTCAGATGCGGCTAAGAGACACCCACAACACATGAGACGCCAATGCTGATGACGTCCAATTACACTGGTCAACAACAAAAAACACATTTTTTTCTGGCCTGGACTTTTGCAGCTGTTTTAGACTAATTTCAGGGTGCTGATTCCAAATCTGATCTCAGATTTGCTCTATCACATCTCATTTTTATGCTATCGGCATACCCCATTTTAATTGATTTTACCCGAAATTAACTCTGTCACTTATGATTGCAAGTTGTTGCGAGTCAGTGACAGCTTTAGTGTTAAAATATGGTGCTGTATTTTTAGGATAGTGTGTTTATAATATCATTTTATGTAGATATACACATTTATTTAATATTTTTCTTCTGCAGTTATTCTTGAAAATGCAATATTTGATATCTCAAAAACCTGATGTGATAGACAAAAACCGATGCCAGATTTGGAATCGGCACCACAAAATTACCTTGAAACCGTTGGAATACCTTATGCCGGAAAAAGTGTGTTGACCAGTGTTAGTGGAACCTTCACAGACACAGTCGTAGTAGCAGCGCACGAGCTTCAGGTTCATTACAGTGCTCAGTTGCCAGTAGTTGCATTTCTTGTATATAAGTCACAGTGCAATAATTTAGTTAAGCTAAACGTGCGTTCGCTATTAAATCTAGATTGAAAACGAATTTCTTCAGGACTGTTTTTTGTGTTTAGTTTGCTGTCCTTCCCTAGCACCTCCGACGAACACGGTTAGCCACGTACGGTGCGAAAGAAGTTCAACATACAAACATACAACTAGGATCTGTCAGTGCTGTACTACAAATGTCGTGGCTACGTAATTAATGACAGCATTCGCAAACAGCGGGCTACTGCGTAACTGCAATCTATCCAATAACCGCCAAGAACCATTCACTAGGTGGACATTACCCAACTTCCAGAGTATGGTTTCAGCCCTGCTTCCGGCCATAGGAATGTGGAATTTCTGCCCGCAACGCTTGGGGCTTCTGACGGGAAGGAGCAACACATCACCCTCGTTCAGAGTAATCACGGAGACGTTCGAATTTGGGGATTTTTTTTTATTTACTTATCACCAGGAGGTGCTCATTACACTGGTCAACACACTTTTTCTGGCATATGTTATTCCAACGGTTTTAAGGTAATTTTGGGGTGCTGATTCCAAATCTGGCATCGGTTTTTGTCTATCACATCAGGTTTTCGAGATGTCAAATATTGCATTTTCAATAAAAACTGCAGAAGAAAAATATTAAATAAATGTGGATATCTACATAAAATTATATTATAAACACACTATCCTAAAAATACAGCACCATATTTTAACACTAAAGCAGTCACCGACTCGCAACAACTTGCAATCATAAGTGACAGAGTTAATTTCGGGTAAAGTCAATGAAAATGCGGTATGCCGATAGCATAAAAATTATGTGATAGAACAAATCTGAGATCAGATTTGGAATCAGCACCCTGAACTTAGTCTAAAACAGCTGCAAAAGTCCAGGCCAGAATTTTTTAAATATTTTTTGTTGACCAGTGTTTTTATTACGACCAGTCATTCAGGAACAATCAGTTGACTCTATCCTCATGGGAAGTTTACATCCGCGCTCTCAGTGTCCATGGGTCCCGCTGGTTGATGGACCACAATGCTTGACATGCATGTTTCCACGTGTGTGAAGTTTACAACGAAACACGTCTTCCAAACTCTTTGTGTTGGCATGTTCCTCCCTGTTTGTACAGCATCTTGCGATGCGGTCGCTTTTAGATAATTGATGTTCAAATTGTACCTTATTAGTCTTAAGTTCACTTGCAAATGGATGATGAGCAATTGTTGTTAAAGCGTGGACTGAGTTATGCCCTTTTGTCTTGTCCCCCCACAATGTAATGCAGATATTGTGCGTTCAGCATCACGAGATGAATAATCCATTCAGAAGCCTTGCAGAATATCGTGCGCACTGCACTGTGTGTCGAGAGAATGGTTGAGCAACGTACCTTGTCGCGCACAAGTCCCCGTCCCGAAAGAGTGGCATTTCATCCCTTATACGTTCGGGGTCGCGTTTTCCCGCACACCGCTATCCAACTGTCGCATGACCGTCAAAGCGTTTTCTATATTCTCAGAGATGGAATTCAGCCAAACATACGCGCAAGAGTCACATTTTTAATACGATGGATTGCCGTGCAGTCAGTGGTGGCCAAGCCGCGAACATCAACTCTCTGCACTTGACAACCGATTTAATGATGGGTGGCTGCAGACTTGGTTCAGGGGTCAGAGCACTGACCTCGGATCCATCCAGCTCCAGAGGGTTTAATGTCGACTTTATAGTGGACGGCTTTGTTCATTCCCTGCAGGAAATTACCGAGCTGCTCCAGAAAATGACCGGCCAACTCTTTGAAAGCTCAACAAACGGCGAGCATGCTCACAAAGCGTGCGGCGCAGCAACACCCAAATTGGCAGCCCGTCCAACAGTTACAACGAATGCACTCTCAGCATGCCTGGCAGAAGAGCATCGTTCCAAAGTTCATCTTCTTGGTTCTTTCCGAAAGAACCAAGAAGATGAATCCCTGCAGTCACGAAAGCTTTAAATCGAAACGTTCCAAAGTTGTATGGCCACTCGAGTTCGCGGACTGTGGAAGTGGGTTCGTGGTTAACGGTGATTGCAGAGACAGAAGACGGATCTTAAGCGGTAAGAATCCCAGGATCAAAACCCAACATTACCCCACGTCACAAGGAGGAGCCATATCAAGATGGGACACTCATTATGCTTCGTCGACAAGGGTAGAGCGCGTGGGAGAAACTCGGTAGTTGCACACCGAAGTTGTCGCTTGGGAGTGAGTGGAATAGGTATCACGGCACTATGGAACAAACATATATTGCTCATTGTTGGCAGCACCAGCTGAATAGTTAGAGATCTGTTACCTGAAAGTGGGTCATGCAACAAAGTCTATGTTATTTCGTGGCTTGCACAAAGCCTCATGCCGTGTACACTCAAAGCACTGTGAGTGAAACATCGTCCTACGTTGATGTGGCATTCAAGCTATGAAAAGTCTTAAGCCACCAGTGAGGAGCCTTATTGGTCAGAATTGGATCAACGGAATGACGCATCATGGGACCTCCTTTGCCAGTACCAAAATATGAGAATCTGTTTTCCCCTTTTTTTCTGGCAACAAAACAGATGTTAAGATGTTAAAACACCAAACTGAAACCTTTTACAAGGAATCGTGTCTGCATTAACCACAATACTTGTGGTCAGATTGCAAAAAAAAACATACTCTGATAATATATGCATTGTCTTTGAAACTGATTGGTCCACACCAGAGACAGCTTTCTTTTGAGCCCGGTCTCAAAACGGTGTTAGGCCTTTTGCATTGTGACCACAATTATTGTGGTTAATGCAGACATACTTCCTTGTAAAAGGTTTCAGTTTGGTGTTTTAACATCTTAACACCTGTTTTGTTGCCAGAAAAAATGGGAAAACCTGTTCTCAGACTGACGCATGTAAATTACATATTTGTCAGAGTGACAATCTTGTTGGGCGGTGGAGGGATTGATGACAATAATGTTGGACATTAAACTACCACATGGCCTCCTATCCCAAAGTAAACAAACTATGGAACGGTCAACACCGCCTCCACTCAGTTACATGATGTGGGATATTAAACCCATTCATTCGGACTCGGGACACGCTCGCAGCATCGCACGCCGATGCACGTGCGAGAGATCGCGTGGGGCTCACGCTGGGAACAATGGTCGCATTAAGGTTGCACGCGCCCACCAAGTGCGGTACGATTTGTAAGCAAGGCCTAAAGCCACGGGCTTGCTGTCATAACGGGCAGTTGACAGTGTTTGCGCAGGTGAGAGTCGGCTTTGTTTCAATGAGCTGCCAAGCGTTGAACAAAGGTTATCTCCCTCTTTGTAGCGATGCTCCTCCATTCTCGCTAACGGCAGCCTCGATTTCCATCTCAAAAAATGCTTCACGTTTGAGCGTGGGCATGAAAGACGCGTAGAGTGAGCTACTTCTTGGCTCTGACTCGCCGTCCACACTTGCAAGGATCGTCGCTGAAATCCTAGACTTCTC